GCCCCGTGAGTCACGTGTTACTGGGAGTCCCTGCTATTCGTTCCCAATCCAGCTGACAGCAGTCACACCTGCTCGTGCAATTGCATAATTCAATTCCTCTCATATTGAATTCAAGTAGGAGCGTGGACAAACAACTCCTGTGAAAGGCAGGCCAGCATGCATTCTCTTGTTCTGGAAGGTGCTGAGCTGCTCTGGGTAGCTGATCCTCCCCTGGCTCCCCTCGTTGCCTCTTCTACCCCAAGTTCCTGCATCTCTTCCCTCTGAAGCTGGGCTGGAGAACCACCCCAGAACCAGGACAGGGGATCCTCTGCAGGGGTCCCTGGGCTCAGCCAGGCACCGGCGAAGCCCTGCTCGGGCAGGCTTACCTGAAGAGCTCCTTGGAGGCAGCATCCCTGGGGTCCAGCCTGGATGTGGACCGTCCATTATCATGGGGAGCTGGCAGCAACAAGGGGTCACCCAAGGGTACGGCCCCGCCAAGGTCAGGATCATCAAACAGCTTCAGGGCTGCAGAGGAGGCAGCAGCCAAGGGTCAGAGCAGGCCTGGCCAGGCTTCAGCTGTCAGGGTGCAGGGTGGGGATAGCCTGGCACAACCAGGAGAGAACAGGCCAGGGGCATAGCAGCATGCGCAAGAACCAGAAGGGGGGTGGTGGGGGATGGGAGGCCCACCCAGGGTCACCTCTCAGGCTCAGTCCTCCCTATACTGTGGCTTCACTCCCAGGGTCAGGCATTCTGTCTCCACCCCTCCCCCACAACTGCTTTCAAGTCAAACAGCTGTTTGTTTCCTCCTTCGCAGGAGGAAACAGGCTCCAAATCCCACTGGTGTCTCTTAACTCACATCCCACCGCCACTCGCCAGCCATCAAGTGTGCCAGCCCCGGGGGCCACTCTGCAGGGACAGTGATGAGCAGCCCTGCTCTGACTGCAGCCCTGCCATCTCCTCCCAGGCACCTGAGCTCTGCCCCCACTGGAGCCGCTCGGAGCTGCCCTCAATGGAAGCTGACCACTGTCCTCCTTTCCTGCAGCTTATTCCCCAAGAGGATCCTGCCTGAGAGCGAACCCCTGCCAGCCCCATCCTGTGAAGTCTTCCATCCCTCGGGTGGCTCTGCTCGCGTGCCGCCAAGCTGACACCAGCTGGGACCGCCCGTGTGCCCGTCTCCTCTAAGGACAGAGTGGGTGCGTGGGCTTTGGTGCTCCCTGAGGTTTGCTCAACTAACGAGTGACATCGACATCCCACGGAGGAGTGACGTGGCCCGAGACGTGGAGAAGCAGGCCCAGGGAACCCCCAGAATTCCAAGGCTGCTTGGCGCCTCCCTGTCCACTTCTGCACAGAATCTGCCCGGAGTGTCTGTGCAGACGACACTCGTTGTTCACGGTGCTACAGTTCCACAGTGGTCCCAGTGTGCTGGGGGCTACGTCTATAGCCACGTCCGCCACGCGTGGGCTGGAGGCCGCTGACGATAGCAGGGCGGAGGTGCTGTCCCACTAAGCACAATCTGCATCTCTCAAAGCAACACGGGAAACCCTCCTCACCTTCCAGAGAGGGCCAGCAGGCACGGCGCTGCTGGTAGTGGTGGTCACGGGGTTGATTCCAGCCCATGGCAACCCCGTGTGCAAGGAGAACTGCTCAGACCTAGCATGGTCCAGTGCGTGGGGAGACCAGGTGTGCGGTGAGACTCCTCCAGCAGAAAATCTCCCAAGACTGAGCCTGGGCTCTCTCTACAGGAGACTGAGGAGACACCCACCCAGCCCAGTACGCGTGGGCTGGGCCGGGTCCTATGCACAGGGTGGGGTGGACACAGAACTGACCCCAGGAGCAAAAGGGCTGTACTCACGGTCTCGGAGGGACACTCCCTTTGTGGGATTCTGTGGGGAGAGCATCTTGCTGGGGCCAAAGAGCCCCTCATCTGGGTCCACTTCCTCATCAAAGATGGTGAGTCGGGGTGCAGGCTTGGGCTTGGGGGCCACTTCAAAGTGTTTCTTGGGCTTCTTGGAGCTGAGAACCAGACAAAACACACAGCTTAGACTTTTCACAAGAGCTCAACCAACCCAGTGTGAGTGGCCTGGTCAGACCAGCACA